CACACAAAAAAAGTCTTCCAATTTTGGAAAAAGGGGCCCTGACAGTTGAAGTCCAATCACAAGTGGTTCCTTTCTGTCATAAGGAGAATAAGCACAACTACACACCACCCTCCAACCTTGTATCCTATAGTGACTTCTTCAGTAACAAGACACACATTAGAGGTAATCAAGTACCTGCAAATAAATCTTTTCCCCTCACACAGCAATGAAGTGACATTGCTTGTCAATCTACTAAGATCGAGCCCTAAAACCAAATCCCACAACATGGAACCCAACGAAGTGAAAATGGATTATAACTCTGGATCAAAGGGATTTTTGCCAAAACAAACTATAATCGAAGACGGAGTTCCCAACAACTCTCCAAATGCCAGACCAAAACCCAAACAACTAACAATAAGACACCACCTTCTATCGATAATCTAAACACCACTCCCAATGGAGCATGCTCCGGCATCATGGCTAAAAATTTCACTACAATTCCACTCCCAATCACTTCAACTGATAATAAGGACAACCCTAGTGTCCATCCAAGTCCAAAACCCCCTCTACCTGGCCCAACTAGCAACCCACCTTTAAACCAGGGATTGGCCAACTTCAGCCACCAACTGTGGTAATCAACACTGTTACAGGCCAAATATTCTAGCACACAACAACCCATCTCAATAGAGGAGATCAACAAGCTCATGGGTCAACTCCGCCAGACCATGCTATTCATTCCCATGATGAATCTGGAGTCAGTCCTCCCATCCCTATCTTTCACCCTATGGTAGTGGAACTACAGCAAGCTTTGTCATCACCTCCATCTCCAACCCCGATGTCACCTCTACTGCATTTGAACAGAGGGACCAACCAGGCGTTGGACTTCCTCAAGGAGTCAAACCTAGATCTAGAAAATCTTCTAGTACAATTAGGGTTCCCAAAGACAATGGTAATACTCATACTAGAGTAGCAGGAGATAGAGTTCAAAGAGCAGTTCGGAGAAATGCTTATTGTTCTCTACCCTAGAAAACTTCAAAGTTGCAAACTAGATCTTTGCATGCCCTCATTTTCGATCTCATGGAACTCAATAGCAGTGCTAAACCCAATTGCAGGTCTGGTGAAACAAGCCTAGGGAAGGGAATCAAGAGAAAAGCCCCACCAAAGAACAAACTCTTGATGAATTTCATAATATGAAAAGCGAGGGGAGCAAATAATGTTGAGTTTCGCAGGAATTGTGCCTCTATGGTCAAACTCCACAATCCACCAATGCTTGTTATGCTTGAAACAAGGATGGCTGACCATAAGCACCTCACATATAAGCACGAATGCTCAGCTCAATTCCAATCCTTAGCCCAAGGTCAGTTTGGTGGTATAGTTGTCATACGGAAGGATGATCTGGTGAAGCTGGAGGAGGTTTCTACCACATCTTTGGGGCGCATTTCATGGTTAAGGTAATCTCCTCTCCCTCCAAATGGCTTTTACCTACTATTTATGCTAGTACCAACTATGATGGTAGGATTAGACTGTGGGATTACTTAGTTGATATTGCTTCTATTTTCAAGGATAGTTGGCTGGTAGGTGGTGATTTCAATGAGATCCTGAAATCTAGGGATAAATTTAAGGGTGAAAGAATTAATTGTAATAGGAATAATAATTTCTGGAATTTCTTAAATCGATGTAAGCTTGTAGACTTAGGATTCATAGGCTCCAAATATACATGGACCAATAAGAGGTACTCTAGAAGGCAAGATCTAATTCTAAAAAGGCTAGATAGATGTTTTGGTACTGATAATTGTATTTGGTTTATTCCTTAAGACAATTGTCCATCATCTCCCACGCATCATATTAGGAAAACCCTAAAACTAGGACTTGGCAATGTATTATTGATGGCTGAAAAGTTTGCACCAAAGCTAATTGATGGGTGGTCTAGAAAGATAATAGGGTCAGCTTCATTTCTGATACCTGGATTCCAAACATGCAACCTCTCAACTCCATCCTCCAAGGTCCTTAGCAAGAGCCTGAGGAATCCATCAAAATTAACACCATGTTCAATAATGGAGACTGGGATTTCAGTGGTATCTCTTATCCCCTCCCTGAGTCCATAATCAAAATCATTCAAAACACATTCATCATAGAATTATTTGGAACCTCACTAGTAATGATCTTTTCACTGCAAAATCAACCTACACCTTCATTAACTCTAATTGGGAGCCAACTGGGAGAGAGGAGGACCATTTTTTGTTGGATATGGAAGCTCAAAGTTCCCTATAACATAAACATTTTTACATGGATCTTCTATCACAATAGGCTTCCTATTGGTTAGTACCTCCACCACTTTGGCCTGAACATTAATCTTAACACTTCTTGTGTAAAGTGGCTGAAGAAGATATCCAACATATCTTCTTTGAATGCCCTAATGCTAAACTCTTCTGATAGAATTTGTCAAATGTTTATACCAACTAGGCTTGCATTATGTTTCTCTCCTTCTCTCAGTCCTCCTAGATCTACACCTGGAATAAGTTAAAATAATATGGAGTTCAATAAAGATATCTTATGGAAGAATCTTTTCTCTTCCTGTTTTTTGGAATATTTGGCTAACTGAAAACAATAATTTGTTTGATAAGAAGAAGAATCCAATTTCTGCGAACCAAGCCATAAGTAAAGTTGTAGAATACTGCCATGTGGTAGGACACCATGGGGTAAGTGTTGAATCAATCATTATTCACTTGAAGTGAGAACCCCAGGCAGCATGGTTTTTTTAAACTTAATATAGATGGTGCTTCAACAACTAGTCCGGGAATAGAAGGGCTAGGTGGAGTCTTTAAAAATAATAGAGGGGATTGGGTAGTGGGTTACATTAAAGGCATTCCTCACACTACCAATACAATGGCAAAACTTCTTGCACTAATGCATGGCCTAAAGATTGCCCTTCTACAAAGAATGATCCTTTTAGAAATTATTATTGATTTATAGAAGTAACAAGGATGATCTTAGAGGACCACCTTCCTTATAACTCTATTGTTTGTGAATGCAGGTTATTGTTGGAGTAGCTGGGAAATCCAAAAATAAAGCATACTTATAGGGAGCAGAACCAAGTAGCGAACCTCTTCGGCAAGGAAGGAGCTAAAAAGCAGCTTTTTGAATGGCTTAAAATTTTGGTAGTTCCTCCGATGTTTGCAAATGATGCACTGTGTGCAGACATCCTAGGAACTATATTTACTAGGAAAATCAAAACTTGTGACAGTAAGTCTTTTGAACAATTACCCCATGTTAAAAGGGGAGAAATTCAAAAATAGCCAGATTTACAACTGATCGATCAAAAATAGCCCAGTTTCAAAAGTAATCGAAATTTAGCCACTTTTCATGTAAAGATAAATCTGAGCGAAAACATTGTTTAAAACCCGAAAAATACGTCAGTATATTATACTGGACTTCCAGCATAAGTATGCTTGAACTCCAGCATAAGTATGCTTGAACTCCAGCATATTATACTGGAGTTCCAGGATAAGTATGCTGGAACTCCAGCATAATATACTGGAGTTCCAGCAAGTATAATTGTCCAATATAATATACTGGAGTTTGGAGCACTGGTGCTCCAGTCTCTAGTATATTATATTGGAGTCAGCAAAGTATATCGGTCCAGCATAATATGCTGGAGTTCATACACAAGTGCACCGAACTCCAGTATATTATGTTGGACTGGTCTCTGTTGCAGCAAAATAATGGCTATTTTTCATTGACTTAGTAAACGCTAGCTATTTTTGAATGATCAGTCCGAAAACTGGCTATACCATGCTATTTTTACTGTTAAAAGAGAGCAAACTCTCATACTACATTGTAATTATACATAGTTTGTTTTATATAGAGAGAGAGATATGACTATTCAGTTTGACCAAAAAAAGTCAATTTACTTATCCATTTAAAGAAAAAATATTTAATTTTTATTGTTAAATTTATTTTAACATAAAAAAAATCTAAATATATAATTACACATGTGCAACCAAACATAACACAGAGTTATATTGTGCAACCAAACAAAACACATAGACTTACATAATAATTACATTATGACAAATGAATAAATGGATTACGAGGTATCCTTCCAAACATGCTATTACAGTGAAGACCCAAAGTTTCAACTCAGCTAACACTATGACGATTCACGATCAAACAACTGCAACTACTCAATGACCAAGGTCCATGAGACAAGCATCCAAACGAAGCAAACATACACACCACACCAAGTCAAATGCGGGATTTTACACTCTTGATCATCAACTTTGAACGATCTGTCACATCTTCATGTAGTGCACCAGATAAAAAGCATTCAATCATCTCGAACTTAGTCTTTCTAGCCATTACTTCCAATGATTAAAGCCACCCTTCGAGAGGAGCCATGTCGCTGGTTTATCATCCAACACTCCCTATATTGTATGAGAAAGATCATTTTGTACCTAGCGCGTTCTGGATCCACTTTCCTCAAAAGCTAAATTTGAATGCAACAACCACTACAGATCGTAAGAACCCATATATCATATCAATATCGGTACGACTATGTTCAAGAAATTCTAAAACCCTTTTTTCTTAAATTGCAAACGTCAGAACATGAATATGTATCCGAGTAGTATTATATTACCTATACTTAGGAACACTAAACATTTAACTCTACTCGTCTCAACATCTGACTGTTTAAATTTATTTCAACTCACAAATTAATAAAATATTAAATTCATCAAAATGATACTTACATAATCTCCAAAATATTAAAGAAAATCATAAACATAAACTATTTATTTGCTATGCACGGTCAAAAAGCTAATAGCTCAACATTGAGATAGTAAAGGTCAGCAATGGTAGTTATGCAATTGTGGGTGTGCTGTAATGCTGCACGTATATACTGTCAGTGGTTGTGAGTAGCAATGAAAGTTCTACCATAGAGGTTGGATGGAAGTAGTCATTACTCATTAGTAATGGAATCATATAAGATCACATTAACATGAATTTTTGAAGTGATCAATGTCTTAATAATTTCAAAACTTTGTATAACATTTATGAACGGAATATTTATAGTGATCAATGTCTTAGTAATTTCAAAACTCTGTACATCATTTATGAACCGGAATTCAGAAAAATGATTATAAAAGAAAAACATGCACTTAAGCGTGCTGAAATCTGAACAATCTAGATTCAAACCCCCATATGAGGAATCAAACGATGCCTTAACAACACCAGTGAATTCTAAACTCTAATCGCATCAACACGGACGCAAAGGATTTGGATACATGCATCTGCTACAAACTAGTTCTTGGCGTCCATAGAACCTAGATGATGTGCAACTATTATAAAATACACCTAAGCAATTTGTAATTTATTTTCATCGGAAGCTAGTTATTATAGTAATATAATATCATTGGCAATCCATGGAGTTTGAATCTTCCTGCGGTCAAAGGACACTGATATCAGGTAATCAATTTGAGTCAAATTTAAAATGGAACAACGAAAGTGAACCTTAATTTAAACATCTCTTTAATTTATAGTCAACTACATCATGTGACCAAGGATAGATGGATCTCATATATTTCCTATAATCATACCTGCAATGAACCAGAAACCTATAAGAAAAGGCAAGTCTTATTTCAACTCCATATCATCGCAAAAACATCTCTACAGCTTTGAGAACATATCCTGGGACCGCCAAATTTTCATGAAGGAACCAACCAAAATCCTAACTTCATACCAGAAGTTGTGTTCCGAGTATTCCCTTTTCTTTAAATGTTATTATTATTAAGTCAATCTAACCACGCATGAGAATAAGTAGCTCTACTCTATCATCTAAAATGCTCCGCGACAATAGTGAACAAGGGTAAAAACTAGATACCGCAGTGGAAACTGGTTGGACAGTGGGGAATTACACCTAAAGAAACAGTAGCTAATGGCTAATTGACATGCTTGTTACTCTTACAGTATCACAGATTAGAATAAACACATCATACCAGTAGCTACAAGCCCTAGCACCAGCAGCCTCTGAAAAGCAACATACTACATAGCAAAAGCTCAAAAATGCCTGGTCACATTTAGAGTGCCGCACCGAGTGGATTTTTTGTGAAGCAAGCATCAATTTTTGTTGCTTAGAATTATGCCATAAATATGCCTGTTATAACGTTGATGAGACACAACCAATCAAGATTTCTCTTAAAATATCATGTTGCTATTGAAAAGACAAATGTTGCATGCAAAGGGGCACTTGTTGAATTCACAACTAATGGGATTACGTTTGTACCTAAAAGAATCTAAACACTTACTAAGCAACGGCCAATATTCAACCAATTATGCCTACACTAGTCATAATAGGATAATCACCGAATCATAATTTTTTTTTATTTTTTATTTTAAAAAGAACCTACAAACCCCACCCTCAGAGAGGGTGGACACTGAGAAATGTCAGCTTCCACATAGAAGCTCCCACATGCACAATGCATGAGACAAAAACACTAAGGCACCCTTGAGTGTAGCAGCTAATACCTAAACTCCAAAATAGAGCACAGCTAAAAATACTTCCAAATAATTACTCAACTACTCCCTCCGGTTCACAATAAGTGACCAGTTTACTTTTTCATTTTGGTTCAAAATAAGTATCCAGTTAGGTAATCAAGAAAAAATTCAATTTGTTCACTCTTTTACCCTTATGTGCATATCCCTAAAAAAAATCGCACTCCTCACTCTATGTGACCAATATTTAATAAGGGTAGTTTAGTCATACTAGGTATTTTTGTATAGAATTTAGCATTTTCTTAATGGGCGTGCTAAAAGGAAACTGGTCACTTATTGTGAACCGGAGGGAGTACAAGAGAATTTATTAAACAGCTGTCTAAGAATGTTAAAGGAGGCTAAAGAAAAGAATATGATCCAGCAGATTACCAATTCAACCAACAAAACACTACATATGCTGATAAACAAGTTTTATACATCTAGCATTTCCTTACCACCGAAAAAGTTGCAGGTAAACTGTTCTGCTGAAGAGTCAACCTTTTATCTCTTCTGCCTCGCCCAAAAAAGACAGGTTGAATGGAAAAGATCTATTGTAGAAATTTCAATCAAAAGAAAATTAACTTCAAAATGTAGCCCCGAAGAGAAAGATAAACTTTTGAAATAATAAGAAACTATTTCCCACATTTGCGACAACGGATTAACCAGTGAAACAGCAGAGCAGTGCTTTAACTTGCAAAGAAGAAATAAACAGAGAACCTAGTAGAAAAGAGGTTATGAAAAGAGGAACATAAACTAGGGAGGCTCCAAATAGAGTCCCACTTTATAGCCTGTTTGGCCAAGCTTCTCCAAGCCAAAAGCACTTTTTTTTTCCAAAGTTGAAGTGCTTGCCAAGTTTTTAGAGGGTAAAAAAGTGCTTTTGAGTAGCAGAAAAAAATAGCTTCCCTCCAAAAGCACTTATTTGAAAAGCACTTTTGAGAAAAATACACTTAAAAGCAGTTTTTAAAAACGTGGCCAAACACTAATTGCTGCTCATAAGTGTTTTTCAAATAAGTTTGCCAAACACAAACTGCTTCTCACCAAAAGTACTTTTGAAAAAAGCACTTTTGAGAAAAAGCACTTCTCAAAATAAGCTGATTTTTGCAGCCTGGCCAAACAGGCTATAACTAAATTTCATACTATTGCTACTAACTTTTGTTCGAATCACCAAAGGGTAACATTTTGTTGGCAAACATAATCACATTGTTATTATTTCTTTAGGACTAAACTGCATATGTCACATCACCAGTCTCAGGAAAGGAGAGAGCGAAATAAGCAACCTAGATTGACGATTAAGCTAGCAAAATAGGCAGACCAGCTTAAAAGACCAAGGCAAGAATTACAAGATGGATGGATTAAGAATCATGAAAACCAGGATGCGTCCCCGAGACATGAAAGAACATAACAAAATAAAAAACTGCTGGGAAGTTCTAAAGAGATAACACACACAAAAAAAAAAGCCTTTGTAAAGTAAATAAATAGGTGCTATGTGTCACGATCAATAAGAGAAGCTTCTCCCTACCACAACTCAAATTTTACGGACTAAGCATTTATTTAAGAACAAGTTTTAACTATCTACTTAAAACTGATCCCCTTCTAACAAAATTTCATTTTCATGTCATCTGAACTTGGTGGATTTTAGTCTAGAGCATAAACGTGTCTTTTCATAGTTTTTCTGGTTGGCCACTAAATCATCATTAGAACATTGTGCGTTGGTCTATGTTGCGCGGACTCTCCAAAATAGGCGTTGTTCTAATATGCACATAAGGCATTATCCGGCCACATTTTTGAAGAGTCCGACCAACATAGGCGTTGGTGACAACTTCGACACCACATTATCCTAATCACCTAAACAAAGAAGATCCAGGACAACATTTACCCACTCTTGAGTCTTGAACTACAACTACCCCTTGATCAAAGCTCAAAATTGAAGTATAAACTTAAAACAAAGATAACTATGGTGGAGTCCAATTCTTAACTTACCGTAATCTTTTTATCTAAATAGGTAAACTAGAAAACTCAATTTCTAGGAAAATATTAACTCAGAAGAACATCAAAGACTACAACCATAACATCAGAAAAGAGGAAGAAACTGCATAAAAATCTTCCATCAAGCCCCCTCCCCTCAATCAAGAAAAAGAGCAATCCGATATCGACAGTCTGTTAACCGATGGCCACCAGCTGTAACTCTACACGATATAATACAGTTGTACCAATCTACCAATCTAATGGATGCTACAGTACAGTAATTTAACAGCTTAGACATAGACCTGTCATATATGGAACAGACACCATACAACATGCACACAAGACAGTGCTTACTGAACTTCAATGTTAAGACCGGGAAAGCATCTTCAAGCAATGAAAGAACGCCTTACCAACTAGTACGCCTCAATCCCAAGCTAGCTGGGATTGGGTATTAGGACTGTCATATGATTTCATTCCATTTAAACCCGTTTCATTCCAGTGTTCAATAATTTAGACTCCAGCCAATAGAAGTACATGTTCTAAAAACTAAGATGGTAAATTGTAAAAAAGGGAGTTCCTACTTTTATCTTTCTGCTTTGATGAGTGGAGGTATAATTTTATCTCCGGTTGCTAAGTGCACAATACATTCATGGATCACATCTTCTGCCGTTGTGTATCTGCTTTTTTTTGTTTGGATAAGTGTGTGCATCGCTGCTTTATGTAGTCACTGCAACCTAAGGTGGCATAAGAACCCCTCTTAAGCGTAGTGGATATTCAGCTCACCAAAAAAGTAAACTGGATTTCCAATCTATGCCCAGCAAACTGCACTGTCAGGGCCAAATCTGACCTTCACAAACTGTTTTTTTTTTCCTTCTTATTTTTCCAAAAATCCATCATCTAATAGATTGTAAAGTTTTGGTTAGGAAGCAGATAGCAGGACTACTTCTATACCATTCTTTGTGGAGAAGTGTTCTTCTATGGTATGATTTCAAGGTTATTATTTAAGGATCAGTCTTCATTATCCCATAATGATCCAGGACAACATTTACCCACTCTTGAGTTTTGAACTACAACTGCCCCTTGGTCAAAGCTCAAAATTGAAGTATAAACTTAAAACAAAGATAACTATGGTGGAGTCCAATTCTTAACTTACCGTAATCTTTTTATCTAAATAGGTAAACTAGATAACTCAATTTCTAGGAAAATATTAACTCAGAAGAACATCAAAGTCTACACCCATAACATCAAAAAAGAGGAAGAAACTGCATAAAAATCTTCCATACAAGCCCCCTCCCCTCAATCAAGAAAAAGAGCAATCCGATATCGACAGTCTGTTAACCGATGGCCACCAGCTGTAACTCTACACGATATAATACAGTTGTACCAATCTACCAATCTAATGGATGCTACAGTACAGTAATTTAACAGCTTAGACATAGACCTGTCATATATGCAACAGACACCATACAACATGCACACAAGACAGTGCTTACTGAACTTCAATGTTAAGACCGGGAAAGCATCTTCAAGCAATGAAAGAATGCCTTACCAACTAGTACGCCTCAATCCCAAGTTAGCTGGGATCGGGTATTAGGACTGTCATATGATTTCATTCCATTTAAACCCGTTTCATTCCAGTGTTCAATAATTTAGACTCTAGCCAATAGAAGTACATGTTCTAAAAACTAAGATGGTAAATTGTAAAAAAGGGAGTTCCTACTTTTATCTTTCTGCTTTGATGAGTGGAGGTATAATTTTATCTCCGGTTGCTAACTGCACAATACATTCATGGATCACATCTTCTGCCTTTGTGTATCTGCTTTTTTTTGTTTGGATAAGTATGTGCATCGCTGCTTTATGTAGTCACTGCAACCCAAGGTGGCATAAGAACCCCTCTTAAGCGTAGTGGATATTCAGCTCACCAAAAAAGTAAACTGGATTTCCAATCTATGCCCAGCAAACTGCACTGTCGGGGCCAAATCTGACCTTCACAAGCTGTTTTTTTTTCCTTCTTATTTTTCCAAAACCCATCATCTAATAGATTGTAAAGTTTTGGTTAGGAAGCAGATAGCAGGACTACTTCTATACCATTCTTTGTGGAGAAGTGTTCTTCTATGGTATGATTTCAAGGTTATTATTTAAGGATCAGTCTTCATTATCCCATATCCAAAGAAGCACCACAACTAGTTATTATGTCTTGCCCGAAGCATGAAGGAGCATGAGAAGATAAAGGTAATTCTAGAGCATACATTTTATAGAAACTCTCATATGTACTGAACAGCTGAACCTAATGCATAGCAACGTTTAATTCGCAGGAAATATTTCCCTAAACTAGATTGCATAAGCAAGAAAGTGCATTAACATAGCTACAAATCCACTAGGACTAAGTTGACATAAATCGTCCTGATATGGGAAAAGTAAAATTTCAAAACCATAGGCAAAACAACTTAACTGCCACAGAAACTTCCAATCCAAAACCATCTCCAACAACAGGGCAGCAACCTGAAATGACAAAGCTAGGATAAAAACCCCCCAGAAAAGGAAGAAAGACAGTAATTAGCACCTACATTGCAATGCAAACGCCCGATTGAGAGCTTAGTAACAACCATCAACCACTGCCTTCCACTTCCTGTTTACCATCCCAGGCTCATGCTTTTCTACCACGTCCCTCGAACACTGCCTTTCTAGGCTTGCCTTTCTCTTCAACTGCAGCACGATCACTAAAAGTCCTACAAAATGGTAGCAGATGGAATAACAATCTACGCGGTGGAATTTGCCGGTGTTACAAAATCTACAGAACACTCACTTCTGTTTTTTTCGGTTTTGCTCCTTGATAGTCCTGACCATATCCATAGCCATATCCTGGTGCTCTCTTGTCTGTGAATGCATATCTAGGCCCTCAACAGTTTCACAATCAACCTTGCAAATGCGGCACCAGCCCATGCTCACGGGCTTCCTCTTTCTTGGTCTATCAAAGGAATCCATATCACCCTGAGAAGTTGTAGTTAAAAAAATTAATACGACACTACTCACTTCATGCACATAATGACCATCACAAGATTGCCAGGCTATAAAGCTCAATTTTCAAGAAATAATATACTAATGGAAGGAAAAGAACAAGAAAATTACAGGATTCATAATGTAACACTTACCGCATAAAGTCCATCGTTTGGAAATCCCGGGACAGGATACCTGCTCCTAAATCCCGGCTCCCCAAATCGTTGTATACCAGGTTTGTTGCGTCCAACTGGTTCACCAAAACCAGGAAAATCACCAGGCCCTGAAAACTCCCCCCTATAAGCACGGCCAGCAAAGGTACCAAAGCCAGCAGGTTCAGCAAAACGCAAATGACTTGGTAATTTCTGAGGATCCAAAGGCTCAAGATGATGCAAATGATTCGGAGCATCTTTTCCAAACATATCACCACTATGGACATGGTTGTAAGGACGAATAAAGGTAGTATGCTCGGTACCTCTCACGTCCCCAAGACCATCAACCTCGAGTCCATGTGAGCGGCCAGGCAAAGGTTGGAACCTACCATCAGAGAATAAACCACCAGCTACATTGGAAAGAAAATTTAAAGGTTTAGGCCCTTCAATAAATTGGGGGGGCTCTCTGCCACCAATATCTTCAAAACCTGAGTGACTTCGAAATCCGCGCGGTGGAATGTTAAAGACCTCCCCATCAGGATTTCGGGCAGACAAATAACCCATATGATGCACACCAAACCCAGGTCCTGCCCTTTTTCTATCATCATCATGAAGACCAAGTGGTGCTTCTCTTTCTCCACTGTCTTTGAAATGCATCGAACCAGGAGGATGATATGGTGGCAATAATCTGTTAGGTGGAACCCCAGCACTGACCTCCAATTTTGATCCAGAATCATACACTAATCCGCGAGGTGGCTTGTCAAGTGGCCGTGATGCTGCATGAACAAGTTCATTATTTAATGTAATCATTTAGGAAACTGATTA